AGGACCACCCGGCCCGCAGGCCGAGCTGCGGCACCCTCTGCTGTGGTGCTCTCCTCAAAGGCCATGACTCTCTGCGGGCTGTCTCCTAGAGCTGCACTGGGCACAGATCCAGACCCAGAGAGCTGATCAGAATCCAAGAGGGGTTTAGATTTTTGAGCACCCACATTAGAGCCTGAATGCAGCTCAGTTTCCTCATCTTGTGCCCCACCCAGTCCTGGGTGAACCAGTTTCTGGTGTTCTCTCAGCACAGTTTGGCTTGAGGTCAGGAAGGCACACTGAGCACAGGCCAGGGAGGGGGGGGTGAGCAAGCATGATGGTGAAACAGGAGGTGAGGAGTTTGCTTGAAGGGTGGGCTTTTTTCTGTTGTGGGTCTTTGAGTGATTAGCCAGTGCCTGGGAGGTTCTTGTGCTGAAGTTGCACTTGTTGCAGACAAAGCGGCGGCGGCGGCAGGCAGAACCAGCTTGGGTCGGAGTGGGGGATCGAACTGAATCTGGAGGAGCTGTTTCTGAGTCATCAACTGCTGCTTCTGGTGATGAAACTGGGGCTGGGGACACAGCTGGAGATGTGACTATTTCTGAGTCTGACACTTTGCCTGGAATCAAGACCAGACTTGCATGTTGCCTAACGGCCGGGTCTGGCCTCAGATGCTTCATTGCCTTCCTGTCCAGTTTTTGAATCTCTCTTGGTTTCCCATTTTCGTTAAGTTTCTCGATCTCTGCCAGGATCTTCAGACGGGACTCCTGGTGCCGTCTGTGATGGTCTGCCAAGGCGAGCCGGTTTGGCAGGCTCCACCCACACTCAATGCACTGGAAACGGCCGGCCTTTCCTGAACGCCTGCCTCCCCCTGACCCACTGTGACAGTGCTCCGCCATGTGCTCCTGCAGATGGACCTGCTTTTTGAAGTAAATGCTACATTCCACACAGGTGAAGATTTCTTTTGCCGACTCTACCCCACTTTCTTCCCTTTTGCCTCCTCTATCTCTGAGCTTCGGTTCTTCCACCGCTGCCTCACCATCGCCAGCCTCCTCAAAATCATAAACCCCCCCACCTTGAGTCAGCCGTGTTGTCTCAGGAGTTTTTGTTTTTTGGGGACTCGCTCGTGCCCACTTGTCAGCCTCAGGCAACGTGCGCTTCATGGTGCCAAGTCCAGAGAAAGGCCTGAGCAGCACCCTCTTCTTTTTGCACCGCTGAATGAATGTGCAGTGAGCCCAGGGGGCAGGAGGAGGACTCTCGGGATCCGAGTCTCCAGGGAAGGTGTACACGTCTCTCTCCGGCTCCTTGGTTTCCTTTGCCTCAGGCCTTTTCTCTCCCTCACTGTTGCCCGCCTCCTCCTCCTCCTCCTCCATTTGACAACCTTCCTTTGGTTTTATGTTGGACACAAACGGCTCGGCGCCCTCAGATACATTCCAGACTTTGCTGCCTGCCACTGTGCAGAGAAAACAGAGAGGTTATGAATGAAAGGACTCGTAAGACCAAAAGCAAAGATCCCGAGCCGTTTCATCCTCACGGTGCTTACGCTGCGATGGGTTTGGCTGTTCTGTCTTTGTGCTCTCGTTGTCGTTGGCCTGCCCCTCCACAGCCGTACATAAATCCGTCTTCCTCTGCGGGTGCGGCAGATTTTCAGGCTCTTGGTGATCTCCACCTTCGAGTCTGGGCAGCAGCGGACAGAAAAACATTCAACTCAGTTTTGAACACCTTCTGCCCGAAACAGAACAGAATTGCACATCTTGTGCAAACTCTTATTTCTTATTCTCTTGAGGACACTCAGGTCATGTCCTTGATTTTTTTCAGGGAATGTTGTGTTCTTCAGTCCAATTATAAACACACACATGGCAGGATTGTTTATGCTGATTCCACCAGTTTGTAGACCCCATTTAAAGTGGTCTACTTTTAGGCCGACTAAATAAATAAAGGGTGGAGTATGCTCGAGAGCATGGAGAAAGCTTTGAAACAGAATCTAAAACATTATTTCACAGTCATTTCTAAAGAGATTTGCTATAAAACTGGACTTTCCTAGAGGGCGTACAGCTCAGTTAGTCAAAGCAATAGTTTGACATTTTGGTAAATGGTTATTCACTTGTCCAGAGTTAAGTGACAGCATTGAAACAACTCTTGTAGTGGTTTGGTTTGCCAGCAGCTCGTTAGCCTAGCGTAGCATAAACACTCCAAACAGGGGGTTAAACAGCTAGCCTGGCTCTGGCCAAAGACAACAGAATGTGCCTCCTCGCTTCGATTCAAACATGATTCCTGGTTTGTTTCATCTGTGGGGAAAACAGAAGTAAAACCTAAAGGTTCTGATTTTCCAGGGGATCTGTGTAGGGCTGTTTTAAAAGGCACATCCACACAGTTTGGTTCTAGCCACTGTCTGTGCAGCTTTGGTACAGATTCAACAACCAAACCTGTCAACTGTTCATGAACGATCATCAGAAGTGCTGCTCTTCAGATGCTCTTACCGCTGAGCAGAACCAGTCTTTGTTGGCTGTAGCTTCACACGTATCAGACGCTTCTCAGTTAAGAAATGATCACACATAGCTTCCACAAGACCACAGACTGTTGTTCTTACACTGGATGAAACAAACCAGATATAATGTCTGTTAACATCAGAGGTGCTGGGAGGAAGATTTTCTTACCTTTGGAAAGAGCCGGGCTCGCTGTTTGTCCCTGTTTCCATTCATCATGCTAAGCTAAGCTTTCCAGCTACTGACAAGACAAGTAGACATGAGAGTAGTGTCAGTGTTGTCATGTAACTGTGGCCAAGGAACTGAATGGACGCTAATGCTTTCAGTTTAGGTGCAGCTGTGGATTTCCAGACGCCTCATTTAGATCAGACATGAAGGAAACAGGCCTGAGCAACTAACTTCATAAGCTAGCTATGAAAACCTGACCTCAGTAATGCTACAGTCCTGAGTGACCACAGCTTAGCCAGGAAACCTTCAACAAAACATGTGATCTGCCTCCATGACGTCTCTCTGTCTGTGTCTTTTCTACACGGATGATTTCACCACCAAATAACTCGCTCCCCTTCCTCCTCCTCCTCCTCCTCACCTGAGTCCAGTAGAAGGAGATCCTGGGCTGTGAGCAGCCAGACCATGAGGGTTAGAAAAGTGCTGTAGCTCCTCCTCTGACACACGACAGCACACAGAACACCACAGGAACATCACTGCACAGCTCAACAATTACCGACCGATAAAAAAATGTTGCAGATCCAGGGTGGGGGGGGGGGGGGTGCTCTGGCTCAAGCAGACTGAATCACATTGAAAACAATAAGGGGACAACAATGATAGATCAGTTCAGAGTCACACTAATGCTTCTATTTGCAGACTGCATTCACTAATGCACAGCAGTAGATATTAAACCCTGCGTTACCATCTAGTGTTTCTTTCTCAGAGTCCGAGTCCCAGCTTAGGGACGAGGGAAAGGCCGAGGACCTGAACCTCCTCTGTGTGCTGCCCCCCGGGTCTGCACCAGGCTGTGTGCCCTCACTCTGCTCAGAGCCCTCGTCTCCAGCGTGGCCCCACGAGCATCTGGCAGACGTCAGGCCGCCGCTCACGTTTGGAGAGCATGAGGACTAGTGGCGGTGATCAGACAGGGACAAATCTTAGTGACAGCTTTTGGAAATGACAGCACAAGTGATGACAGACAGGTGAAGTGGTTTACCTGTAGGGTGCAGCTGAGGAAGGGCTGTGCTGAGTTGAAGGGTGGGGGCCCATAGCTGGTCCCTGGGGTTGGCTCCATGGTCCCCCAGAGAACAGCATGGAGTCCCACTGGGGACCAGTCTGCCTACATCGTGCAGCTCCCTCTTCTCCTGGAAACATGCACACACGGAGACAGTGAACAAAATAAAAGTTGAGCACGGATTAAAAGTTTCCCACTGACGCTGCTTCCTGTAGTGAGGCGCATTCAGGTGTTTCTCAGACAGGCAGCTGGTTGGGACTGAGAGTCGACACGCACATCAGACCATATACCAAGGTCCAATCTGCCGTGTGGCCTGCCGCGGCTGGGCCCCCTGTTCTCTGCCAGGACTGCCTGACCTGTTTCCCCCGTGTGTCTGAGGCGGGCGCCCCCTGCTTACATAAATAAGTGGCCTTTCTGTTCGGGCCCGTGTCCTGCCTGCAGCCCCTCTGCAGAGCAGGACATTGCCCCGGTACGTCAAGGTGTCCACTGCTGCCTCAGAGGACGTGGCGGGGATCGATCCGCCCGTTGTCAGTTGACATACCAACAATGCCACCGCGCACGATGTCTTTCCCACCCCAAACGCCCATGAGTTGCAGTTTTGTTACTGCAAATACTCACTGAAATCGGCCTGGTTTGCGGGTCGCAGTCAAGGGCTGGCTGTCTACGCTCCGTGCGTCATAGTTGGAGGACCGAGCTGAAGCTTCAAGTCCAGACACGATGGGCACAAGAGGTTTTCACGGCTCCCATGGAGAAGCTTGCTCTTTTAGCCGCCGCTCAGGATTTTGCATGGATCCCTTGGAGATGCCTGACTGAGGACTCCATGTTACTCGGCTTGCAGGCGCACCACGGCTGCGTACGTAACGTCGACGGCGAGGGTGACGAGAAGAGTTTGGAGCAACCCACCGGCCATAAGTTTGGCAAGTTCAACTTGTGGGAGCGCTTCGTTTAGACCCTCTTATGTGTAATGTTATGCGGATTTATGTGTAAATCGTGCTGTCATGTCGTGTAATCCTGGCGACACCTGGCTCTGAAAAATACAGAAGTGAAGCGTGTTCACGCCTGATAACGTTTATTCCCACCTTAGATCATTTTATTTTAACAGGTAAAGTTGTACCTGTCGTTAGTTTACATTCAGTTGGCAGCATCTGTCCGGGCTGCACATTAACCACAGCGGTGCATAACTTATATGAAAAATATAAGTATGAGTCCCCCCCCATGGGATAAGTATAACCGGACTGACTTAGTCAAGTAGTTTGAAAACAAAATGCCCAAATGCTGCAAATCAATCAACACCCTGCTGATTAATACGTGGTCAGTGGCGCCCTCTGATGGTCGGACACGGGACTGTCCGTTTGGCGACTTGCCAAGTGGAATAGTTAAGAACAGCGCAGATCCTGCGCCAAAACGCATTTAAAGTGCCAAAATAAAAGTACTCAGTGTGCAGAACAGCGGTAGGCTGTTACTGTAACTACTGTTGCATTCATGTGTTCATCACTTTATGTTTACAGCTGATTTTAATCTGAAGCAGTTCGTCATAATGTATTATCTAATTAGATTTAGTATTATTGACCTGAATCTGCAAAGTAACTAAATGCAGCAGAGTAAAAAGTACAATATCAGCCTCTGAATGAAGTGGAGTAGAAGTACACAGTAGAAAGTGGGAATAAAGTACTGCCAAACTGTACTTAAGTACCGTACTTGACTAAATGTACTTAGTTACTTTCGTCCACTGAGATGTTTAAAAGTGCAACACTATAGTTAATTAGGAAATCCAGATTTTAGATGCCAACCACATCTGAGGGTTTCCCCCTGCTGCACGATGCTGCTCACACATAACAGAGCAGTATATTGATCTGAGTCACAGGCTCAAAATCCATCTCTGAATATTTATAGCAGTGCTTTTATTTTTTCAGTCTGACACATGTGCAAAAGCCTGAAGTACTGACCCGTGGTTTGCCGCTGTGCATTTCACGTGTACATCACACTCGTCAATAACTAACTGCAGTAGTCTACAGTAAAAATGTTCAGAACTATTACCTCAGTCTTGTGAACTGATGGCGTCATGTCATCACTGAGCTTGTCCAGTCTTAAATAGCGATCAGTAATACTTCGGCAATAACACAATAAACACACAATACCCGTTTACTTTTACTTGAAATGAACCACATGTGGTATCTCTGAGTTTACTTAAGTTCAGCACTTGAGTAAATGTGTTGTATGACAGATTGACGCAACACAGGTGAAAGTGTTCGAAAGACGCCAGACAGATGTTTATTTGGTTCGAGGCTCCTTCGCTTGTCAGGCAGAAGATTTTCATTTCTTAACCTCCTGAAAGAAAAGAAATGAAATGTGTACACAGGGGTGGAACTAGTATTCAGATTATTTACATATTCAAAGTAGTAAAACAACAAAGTAAACAACTCTATAGGTAAAATCTGTGTTTAAAATCCTTTACCTTTAAACAAGTACTGCACATACAAACTTGTCTTTTATCTGAGTAAAATGTCCTGCTCCTTCATCCTGTGACTCCATGTCAGAGACAGACCGTGTACTTTTTACTACACTACATGTACCTGATACCTTCAGGCCCAGAATCAGATGAACCAAACCAAACCCAGTAGAACCATCAGACTCTATTGATCCCAGTAGGAAATCCACCAGCTACCCAGCAGGATGGAAAGTACTTCCCAGTATAAGTATATAAGGTAGTTACCATCAGCTCCACCTTTACCAGCTGCAGCATTAAAGTGATGGACACAGTAATTAGTCACTATGATCCAGTATCAGAGACGTTACTGGGACACGGGCCGTTCTGCTGGACGGGTACTGGTACTGATGGTACTTCAAGTAGGTTTGGAGGCTGATACTTTTGTACTTTTACCTAAGTACAATGTGGAATACAGGACCTTTTCCTTGTGACAGAGTATTTTTACACTGTAGTATTACTACCTTTACTGAAGTAGAGGATCTGAGTACTTCTCCATGTATACAACAGACAGATTGTACTCCTACCTGAAGTACTTTCTTACCCTGTCTCTGAGGTTAATATGCACCACTGTGTGTGTAAGCACACCTGCTCCTACATACCCCGAAGTGTTCCCAGCCTGTGATTTCATTATAGAGAGCATCTCCGGGACAGGAAGTGTTCACCACCTGTCTGTGCCCCTGCAGGATGTAGTCAGCTACCAGTCGCCCTCCACCAACCGCGCAGGATGCAAGCTGATCTCTCACCAGCGCCATGGAGTGCTGGGAGGGCAGGCTGCTGATGTAGTCTCCAATGAAGGACACACCGTAGCCTACAGAGTTGTGTCCTAGGGTGTGGGCTCCTCGCCAGTGCCAGCCTCGGCCCTCATAGATGTGCCCGTCGGAGCCAGCCACAAAGCTGACAGAGCAAAGGGGATCTTAGCCGCTGTAGGGTGGGTGCGAAATTACACACGTACATCAGTTCAGTCTGAATGCCTTTACCTGTATCCTATGTCGTCCCAGCCTCTGTCGACCTGGTGGAAGCGCTGCATGGCGCGCATGTCTGCAGAGCACTGCTGGAAGGTCAGACAGGGCTGACTGGGTGTGTGGGTGTGGTGGATGTACAGGAAGGAGAGAGGGAGAGACAGGTTGGTGGGCGTTCCTTTGTACGGCTCTGCACCCCACATGCACCGAGGAATGATGGGGGGGCACTCTGAAACAGATGTTTCACCACAGCTGGTTAGTAGCTGATTACATGTAATTGGAATAAGGTTAAAGGACAAGGCAGCTGATTTTCTCTGTCTGTCATTCTCCACAAACCCCGTCCAGAGACCAGCTGAGTCCAGACCCTGGTCCGGCTCATCGCTCTGTGCCATAGACTGTAGACTGGACGGGGTTGGCACAGAAACAACACAGAAAATCAGTGGCCCTGTTGTTTCTGAGATAATGATCTGCCCTTTTTGTTCTTCTTGTTGATGCGCTGTCCAAACAGATGATTCCCAGTTTGAGAGACCACACTTGTTTTCAGAACTCTTTCACTTCCTGTGTGGGTTGGTCTTGTGCTCACCCATGTACATGTGGAAAAACTCTTTCATGCCCTCGTTCACCGCAGCCACCAGCTGCTGCTTCTCCTTCACACCCATCTTGGATTGGCCCTTCAGTCTACGCTGCAGCTCTGCTGATTTCATCACCTGTCTGGCCAGCACCGGAGCAGTGACCAGCTGTCTGAAGTTGTCCCTGCGCCGCCGGCTGATGAGGCGAGGAGCGGCGTCCAGTCCCTCACTCCCCAGCTGGTGGCAGTAGTAGTCTGTCAGCAGACGGCTGAGCCTGAGAGGACGTCTGGATTTGGCAGAGACCTTCATCCCTAGAACCACACCGTCCATGCCTCCATTGACCTGAGCAGTGGTGAGCAGAGAGGGGGTGTCTGAGAGGGTGAAGATCTGAGGGGCGGTGAAGTTGTCCCAGCAGCCATCAGGTCCCAGATGTGGGCTCCTCCTGAGAGAAAGGCTGAGGTCTTTAGCCAGAGTGAGCTGGTACAGGCCCTGAGCACGCCTGGAGAGAAGCCTGGCCTCAATGCCCAGGAGGAGTGGCCCGAGGGCCACAGTGGTGCCGTCGGAGGTCAGAACCACGCCTTCCTCTCTGGCATCCTCAGTCACCCTGTGATGCATTGCCTTCCTGATGTAGTCCGAGAGACCAGGATCCATTTCAGGACCACCAGAGTCTGCATTACCGAGGAAGTGCTGAATGAATGCATCGTTAAGACCGGCCGCCCTGCGCAGCCTCTTGAGCACAGCTGCTGGCTCAGACCCGGGGTCTTGCTCCTCCACCTGCTTTACTGCCCTGATGAAGTCGTCCATGTGGCGGGAGACTAAAGCTGGAGACAGAAACCATATAAATGTCTGCTGTTCAGATCAAAACCTGTTTCCCGCCCAGCAACCTCAGACTTAGACACACAGAGAGTGAGGAGAACTCAGTGCCGAGGGGCCTCTGATGAGGAGGGGCCTCAACGAGCCTGGAGGTAAAGGTGTTTATCTACAGTTTAACATTTTATGTGACTCACTTCATAAGTAAACTCTTGGTGCCCGGGTGGAGAAAGGAGAGCGAATCCAGACAGTAAGCAGTGTTAGACAGTAGTTTAGTAGCAGTGTGTAACTCTGTGGTGGCAGAAGTACTCAGATCTCTTACTTAGGTAAAACTACAAATACCACTGTGTAAAAGTATCGGCGTCAAAATATACTTGAAGTATCAACCGTAATCATAGTAATTCTGCAGAATGGCCTGTTTCATATCTGATACTGTTGGATTATTGATGCATCACTGTGTTAATCGCTTTAATGCTGCAGCTGGTAAAGGTGGAGCTGATAACTATGTTTATATACAGTAGTGATAATGTGAAGTACTTTACATACTGCTGGTGGAGCAGCTGGTGGATTTCCCTAAAGCTGGAGACTTTTGTGTTGCTCCACTCTTGTCCTGATAAGACTACAGACTCACTACCTGCACAGGGACTGACATTTCAGCTGTAGATGATGCATCGACCTACAGAGGTCAAACATGGACAATATAATGTCTGAAGTGCTGTTGACCCTTTAAAACCTAATGCGTAGGCAGCTGGGCACCGCTGCAAGCTGTATTTGATTTGATTTGATTGATTTATTCTTTCAAGCATGTAAAGACAGTCGATATGTCAACACACATAATTTTACACATATCCAACAAATGCTAATCCAATATCAATGTGCTTATACCTAGTACATGCTTGAACGGAGTAGGAAGAAGTCAGACTTATCCAGTCCTACCCCATGACATCATCTTACCATCATTGGTTTGCAAGCAGTATTACTACATGGATAATTTTGTTCTACACCACACAAGTAATATACTAAAGAATTATTACAGAGTATTAACAATCATACACCACACCCACAATGTTCCATCTAATTAATCATTAAACCTGTTCTTGCATATACCTTTATATTTATGTTTAAACTCGTCAATTCTATTACTATTTTTTATGTCCACACTTAAATTATTCCATAGTTTTACCCCACTTATGGAAATACAGAATCTTTTTTTGGTTGTACGTATAGCATGAATTTTATAATTTAATTTTATTTACAGTAGTGCGGTTCTGAAACTGGTTGACATATCAAAACATTTTAAATCACACTTACATAAACGTACACACAGGATAGATCAGTACTAATGGACACTACACTCTCCCAGAGACTACACGTACTGTATTTGTACAGATTGTTTCAATCCGTTACTTTATGTTTTATCTATTTTAAAAAAGGAATTAGTATTTTTGATTTCTTTTTCATGTTTACTGTACAGTCATATATTATTTTGTATAGTTAAATATGTGCAGATTGAAAGCTGGAAAATCTTCTGTTGCACTTTCCTGATACACAGGCCATGTGCACACAGCCAGTTTTAGGTTTTAAAGGATTAAAGCTGAACAGAACAAACAATATGAGTCAAGTTTGCCAAGTATATGTACAACTAAAAATCTCATCTGAAAGGTATCTGCATAAGAGTCAAACTGAAACATACAGTGTCCAGTCAGAGTTTGTTGATCTAAACATGTAGAAAATGTTGATACATACTCTGCATCTTAGAAAAGTGGTGAAAGTTTAAGCCAAAGATTTTACCTTCTGTGTATACGCCGAGCAGGACCACAACCAGGGCCATGCTCAGTTTCCTGCTTCCTGTCTCCATTCTGAGCTGTGACACCTTCAGCCTCAAGCCTCTAATGTCTGTCGCCTTGTTTCTGTCTCTCATTTATAGAAGCTGACATGCAGAGTCAGTGGGTGGTTATGTAATATAGTGCACATACTGTAGATACGCCAGAGTTTGATCAGTTGGTGTGGCCGACTGAGCAACGTGGGAAGCTGACACCTGAGACAAGTGTGGAGCGGTGTGTCCTTGTAGCTCAGGGTGTCCACACAGTGCCGTTTGACCGATCCGGGCATTTTTGAGAAATTCCCAAGCTCTGTAATAAATCTCAGCCATCTTGTTAGTGTCGTTAATGTGGCTGCTGCTTGTGAAACAAACTTTTTGGGAATAACATCAGTAATATCAGCATTATTGTATAAATTGTGTGTACTCCTCTCTGAGGCAATAAGCATGTTCTCATTAATGTTCAGAAAATACAGACCAGGCTGCAAAACCGAGGAAGTCCCAAAGCCGTGAGTCACATGGCTGTTGTCTGGCAGTGACGGAAATATGTGTGTATTTATATTTAATTTAAGGTTTTTATGTGCACACAGACTTTCTCTGTGTGTCCACAAAGTGTTGAAACCAAGTCACAGGTCATGTATAGAGCAGTCAACAGCAAGTGGATGGTGAGCTGGAAAATGCCCTGCAGAGGGTGTGAGATGCAAATAACAAAGGTCAAAGATATAAATCAATGATAAAAACATTTACAGGGAGGAACAGGAAGCTAAGGTGGTGTTCAAGACTGAAAATTAAAATGTGCATCAATGTAGAGTTGATTAGTTTTGCTCTGGCAGGTTCTTTGACTCCTCAGATACACATGTGATTAAAACATATTGTTAATAGCACCAATAAATGGCTTCCCTGACAGACTAGTGGTTATGGTGCAATAATAGATACATGAAACAGCACTTTTTCACCATTTATTCAAAAGAAAAAGTGATTTTGATTTTATTTTATTGATAGGATCCCCATTAGCTGATGTAATTGTGCAGCAACCCCTCACTACCTCACCAAGTGTAATGACATATCAACTCCATCATGTGATTTACTAAGTGTGATGTTTGATGTTCACTTTGATGTACTATTACCCTATTTTTGTGTATTGTGGTTTTAATACTTTGTCACCCTTATGTAACTTTTTTATTTTAAGACTAAGAGTTTTTTTCTGGCTTTTGACTCCTTACCTGACTCCAAAGGAGAGCTGCACAAGAATTCCTATATGTCTAGACTGTCTGTTTATGCATAAATGGAAAATAAAAATCTTGAATCTAATGACAGCTACTCTTCCTGGGATCCCTACAAATGTTAAAAACATTAAAAACGAGTCAATCAACGCATAGATGGATGGATATTACATCTATGGAAACTGAATTGGATTTTAATACAAAATTCAGCAAAACTTTTTTTCTTTGAGTCGAAACGATCACGTGCTTCGGCGGAAGATGTCGAACGTACGCCACACACTCTTCGGAGCCTCTGTGTAATGCGTCAACTCGTGCGTAACGTCAACAGTAGGTGGCGGTAGACAAACAACAATTTGATCTGTAGAAGAAGAAGAAGAAGAAAAAAGGAGACGAAGGTTCGTTTATGTAAGACGACATGTCTTATAAAAAATGTGTGTAGTTGATAAGACGCTATCTACTCTGTCGTTTTAAATTGTGTTTCTACTCATGTCTAGAATTAATCTATGGTTTCTATCCATGAAACAGCCTCGCAGACAGTTATCTTGACAAGAAGTGTCAGCTAGCATTTACGGCTAGGTAGCTAGCTAGCAAGCAGCTAGCGGTGATCAGCGATTTGTTGTGTATATAAATCTAAAGGTCTTCTCGCCACTTCACAAAATCACAGAAACAGCAACGAGGTGTAGACGAAATATATACACAAGGAGCATTACAGCTCTAAAGTCAAACGAACTTAATATGTAATAAACAATAAAATAAAGGTAGAAACGTCCTAAAATAGACTAGAGAACATTTACGCTGTAGCCTAAGAACCTGTACATTAAGTTGCATCCGTAGCTCTTACGTTTCGCATCCCAACAAAATAAATGTGCAGTGAACATGTGTATTATATGGACATACAGCAGTGTGTATACAGTATGCTCAATTCTCCTCTGATAACTAATAACATTGGTTATTAATGACCTGCACATCTGTGTAAGTAGATACTAACTGGTGACTGTCGTCACTGCCACAGACAATGGACACGCGGTTCACTCGAGGGAAGTCGAACATCTTGGAGCGGCCCCTGACCCGACCCAAGACTGAAGTCAGTCAGAGCGCCTTTGCCCTCCTGTTTTCGGAGATGGTGCAGTACTGCCAGAGCCGTGTGTACTCTGTTTCCGAGCTGCAGACACGTCTGGCTGACATGGGCCAGAGCGTCGGAGCCAGCATGCTGGATGTGCTGGTGCTGAGAGAGAAGAACGGCAAGAGGGAGACCAAAGTGCTCAACATGCTGCTCTTCATCAAAGTGAGCACGTCAAATACTGATTATGGGTTTGGGATGGTACAGCAAAGTGCTTTTGACTTCTTTTTTAAGGATGTAATGTGTTTATTTTGCACAAGCCCCGTGCAGAGACTGACAGCACCAGTGGTGTCCTCACCGTAATGCATATGAGTCCAGACCCTGCTCCTGCTTATTGGTCTGTGCCATAGGCCTCCACTTCTGTCCACCAGCTATTAAACACCCCCCACCCACCCCCAGTGAGCGACACTCCTGCACTGGGGCTTCCTTGGGAAACATATGAGGACGTCTGTTTCCAGCGACCATCTCCACAAGCTGAGAATGGCATCACTGTGGACAGAGTCTGAAGACAGAGTCACTGATCTGTGTTCTGGTTACGCTGCTCTTCCAGCTCCTCAAGCTGCACAGAACATGTTGGAGCTGTTTAATGAAATGAATGACAGGCTTCACATTTTTTTGTGGGGGAAAAAAAAACATAGTAAATCGCTGGTTGCATCCTTTAACTCTTTTTTCTTTTCTTTAGGTTAATGTGTGGAAGTCTTTGTTTGGGAAGGAGGCTGACAAGCTGGAGCAGGCCAACGATGATGACAAGACTTACTACATCATAGAAAAGGAGCCGCTTGTCAATGCGTACATCTCCGTGCCCAAAGAGAACAGCAGCTTGAACTGCGCCGCCTTCACTGCTGGCATCGTGGAGGCCATCCTCACACATAGTGGCTTCGCTGCCAAAGTCACTGCCCACTGGCACAAAGGCACCACGCTCATGATAAAGTTCAGTGAGTCGGTCATAGCCAGGGACAAGGCTTTGGATGGCAGGTAGAGACTGGATCGAGAGGCCGGTGTGTGTTAATCAGGACTGGAGGAGGACACATGGCTCAGACTGGTGCTTATTTCTAAATGTGACTGAATTTCACTGTGGTGGCTGTGAAGATGGCGACCTCACCACACCGAGCCACAGCTGACTGGTTCAGCCTGCAGGGTTTTCTTGTCACATTTTCACACCATCCTTTCACTGCGATGTAGCCCAACGGGTCACCATGTTTATATTAAATAGCGTCACTTGGAAGCGGCCCGTTTCTGTTTATCTTTGGACTTTGTCAGGCCTAAATAATGAATTAGCTCACTGAGAAAATAAACAGGGTATTTGATCATGAAAGTGTGTCTCTAATCCATCCATCCATCCATCTTCGTCTGAGACCGGGTCGTGGGGGCAGTAGTCTGAGCAGAGCCTCCCAGGCTTCCCTCTCCCCACATACTTCCTCCAGCTCCTCAGGAGAATCCCCAAGGCATTCCCAGGCCAGCCAGAAGACATAGTCTCTCCAATGTGTCCTGGGTCTGCCCCGAGGCCTTCTCCCAGAGGGACATGCCCAAATACCTCCCCAGGGAGGCATCCAGGGGGCATCCTAAATAGGTGCCCAAGCCACCTCAACTGGTTCCACTCAACGTGGGGGAGCAGTGGCTCTACTCTGAGCTCCTCACGGGTGACTGAGCTCGGCACCCTATCCCTAAGGGTGCGCCCAGCCACTCTCCGGAGGAAACTCATTTCTGCCTCTTGTATCCATGATCTCATTCTTTTGGTCATGATCCAAAGTTTATGGCCATAGGTGAGGGTAGGAACATAGATCGATGTAGATCTCTAATGATAATTAAAAGAGATGTTGTAAACGTCATTAAATGCTACAGAAAATTATCTTGTACAGATAGAGCTCCAGACTAGTGAGAATATTTTCACTGCAGTTCAGCTCCAGCTCGACTCTCGGGGCCACAGCTACTTGAAGACGCTGAGGTCCTGTCCTCATTATTTGTGTTATATGTGTGTTATTTGTTTGTCTCATTTGTGCTGTGTGCGTGCATACAGATCAGAGGGTTGGACTGTTTCAAATGCTATCTCCAGAATCGTATTCTTAGTCTCAATATGTTTAATTGTGACAACTTTCCACCCCAAATAAATAAATAAATAAATTCAGTAGATAAGATGTGTTCATGGTAATGTGGACTTGGTTTAGATTGTCAGGATACAACGTATTGCCCTTCTCCCATAAAATATGTTTTTGGTGAAACGTGTGTGGTAGTGGTTGCATTCTAATTAGTTTGTTATTACCGGTGACAGTTTTTCTGTGTATTATGCAGTTATAGTATATATGATATATAGATGTAATTTTAGCACGTTAAGGTAATAATGACATGGTTTGTGCCTGACGTTTGAAGATTGAGCCTTTTTTTAACCCAGCAGTAGAACAGTTATCAGTCACGTGATGAAGGTCACATAGTGAATACGCAGAGTCCTGTGTCAACGCGGCCGCCATATTGGTACAGGGAATGTTCCTGATGAATGTATATGAAGGCAGGAGGTCTGTCCACAATTCAAATATTGCGGGCCGGGAGACGCCTGCCCTACCTCATGAGCCACAGCCACCCACCGAATGTATATGAAGGCAGGAGGTCTGTCCACAATTCAAATAATCAGAATTCACTGAGTTTACAACCGTTTGATTTGGGCTTCACGATTTTATTTAAGATTACATTTAACTCGATGTACCAGAGTCAAATTCCTCGTGTGTCCAATGAAGCTGATTCTGATTTGTAGAAAATATTCAAATATTTGTTTTTGATATTTACATTTTAATTGCCTTTTACGATTACCCAATTATATAGACTATTATTTATCTGTAGGTGAATGTGTGTTCAAGACCACTTAGATTTTTAACACTTTAAAAGCAAATTAGCCAAACTATTAGCCTACTTGTTTGGATATAGGTCTATATTCCAACACATTCGTGGCAGTAAAAAAAAAGGTATTGTACAATATAATTTAATCTGTGAAATGTTATTAGTTGACTGGCTTTTTATTCATTAAGACGTCCAGGATCAGCAGGGAATCTGGTGTATTCTGCTGTTTAAACTGAACCCCGCTGCAACATGGCGGGAGCAGACACGCGGCTCACAAACCGGATGTGACATCTATGTGTTTATAGCTCTGTGTCATCCATACACCCTGACAGCGAGCATCCTTTCTCCACGGTGAAGCCCGACTCGCGTTATAACATGTCTTCCTCCGTCCTACCCGTGTGACGAGCACCACCCTGGCACAGTCATGCCGTCTGCAGGTTACGCCAGCAGCCAGGACAGCGCCACAGGTTTGCTAGCGCACCTTTCCTGTTTGTCTTTCTGCTGTCATGGCACCAGTTCATCTCTGCTCCACGGTTAGTCCACATACACGCAGTGCTGCAGGTTTCAGTCGCATCAGTTCCTTTTTGGGTGGGGTCAGATACGACTTGTATGGAGCAAATGCACTGTGATTTGTTAATCAGGCCACAGCAGCGTCCTCAAGCTCCTGTAGACAATAAATCATTTACACCCACAGGTCAGTCAGAGCTGACGATGCGCTCAGTGCTGGAAGGTAGCTAACTGTACATTTACTCAAGTACAGTATTTAGGGACTTGTACTTTACCTGAGTACTTCCATGTCCTGCTACTTCATCCTGTGACTCCATGTCAGAGACAGACCGTGTACTTTTTACTACACTACATGTACCTGATAACTTCAGTTCCTTTTCAGAATCAGATGAATCAAACCAAACCCAGTAGAACCATCAGACTCTATTGATCCACATCAGTCACTATGATCCAGTATCAGATACATTTCTGGGACACGGGCCGTTCTGTAGGACAAGTACTGGTACTGTTGGTACTTCAGCTTGGCTATATGTTGATGGTGATGCCTCTGTACTTAAGTAACACTTCAGAGTATTTGTCCATCCAGCCTTTATCTATACTGATTACCCTGAGGGGGGGGCTGGAGCCAATCCCAGCTGACTTTGGGCGAGAGGTGGGGTCAACCCTGGACAGGTCACCAGTTCATCACAGGGCTGCCATGTAGACAATCACACTTACTCCTATGGGCAATAAATCGTCTGTACAAGGTCAGAAAACGGTGAGAAATGCCCATAACTGTTTTGTAGAACCCAAGGTGACGTCATGTTTACTGCCCTCTTGGCCAGGTCACTCTTGAAAAAGATGTCAATCACAGTGAGACTCACCTGGTTAAAAATAGGTTAAATTACACATTTACATTATTCACATTTTTATTGTGTAAGACTGTGAAAAGCAGCTGGAACCAACAGCAGCTTAAAACCATGATTTACATACTAATACATAAATAAATGACAAATTCATTGGTCATCTTATTGTTGCAGCTGTGAATGAACAGCGCCGCCCTATTGCATTATGGGAAATAGAGGCCAGTGTTTTTCAGTGCTGGATGTAGGGGTAATCAGGTCCAGGCTTTAAGTAAAAGTGCTAATATGCCACTGTAAAAATTTCCTAATTAAATTTTCTGCTTAAGTCAAAGTATGTAAGTATAAAATAGGAAAATGTATTTAAAGTATTTCAAACAGCCATGGAGGAGCTGTGGGCGGCTAAAAGTCTGAATCAGCGGCTGTCAGAGTGAAGAGGTGGCGTCTTTAGCACAGAGACAGTGGGACAAAGAAAGAGCAACAACCAGGGTTAACATGGGTTTGGCTGTTTGACATGGAGAGGGTTAAAAGCAGCCAGAGGACTCAGACTGGATCCAGATGTGGCCTTCTTCCTTCTGGGTGTGTTAGCATCTAAAGCTAACCTGTTTGTTTTGGTAGCATTAGCCACCTAGCATGGTCAGGATTTTACCTTTGTGTTGAATTAATGTGATTCTAATTTGGGAGGAACTGGAGCTTTGTGTAACGTCAGTGCTTTGTGTCACATCAGCAGTAACCAGAGCTTCTACTGGACTGGTGTGACCGGTGGACGTCTGCATTGTGTTGTACTCGGTGTGTGTGTGGTTCCTGAAGGACCCACGAAACACCAGGACTGCGTTTGGAGGCGCGCTCCGTTTAATCTGACAACATGAGATGAACAGTCAGCACCTAGCATGAGCTGCCGGACTTCAAGCCCAATCTATATAAAACAATACATCAACATTAGCATACACCATCATTAGAACAAGCTGAGTAATCAGCACCGTCAGATGTCACAACAGTGTTATAACAATACACACAGGAGTGTGTCCACAGTCATTGTTTATACAGAAGAGGTAAAAAAAAAGATGTGTGCACCAGCAATAAAAGGATTACAATGGATTATTAAGTGACCTCTTCCCAGTGGAACATAACGAAAGGGAAGAGGGCATGACACAACACAGTATGTAAATGACAAACGAAGAAGAAACGAGGCGGAGCTGGAGGTCGCAACCCAATATTTATATATTTATATACAGTAAACCAATTATATGGTATAACGATAGGGACTGGTTACACTTACATGACACGTCCAACTGCCATCAGACTCCTAAACAGCTGTAATTGACATAGTTGCACACCAACTGCTGACTATTGCAGCTACAGCTCCGATTGTGTTCTCATTATATTTTTATATACTTTTTATTATATTTCTTTTCACTCGCTGGCTGAAGTGCCTTTAGATCTTTATGCCACTGTTTACCTACATTATATTTCACTTGTGTTGTTTGGCATTCAGTGTGGGTAGTTAGAATTTCATTGTGCAGGGAAACACACTTCCATACTGTGCATATGACAAATAAACACATTAAATTGAATTAATGTTAGCCAGCTAACGCTAGCTTCAGACTGGAGGCTGGATTTTGCGCATTTTGTCCCAGACAGGCATCTGTTGTAGCTTCAGGAAACAGGATGTAATGGGAGGGGCAAAGAGCAGCAGGTTTATGGTGTCACTTTGTTTTGAGTCTCGCTGGAGCCTCCTGGCTGAACACACATTAGGTAGAGGATCCCTAAGTAGCTACAGAAGTTGTGTAAATGTACTTAGTTACATTCCACCACAGGTGTTCCTGGTGCGTGACCCACACTAGAGACTCAAAGTCAACATATGTCTTCAGTTTAACTGTGTCACCTTAACACCTTACTAAACTATAAACCTTCTTGGTATTTCCCAGAGAAGGACCGGCTGCTCTCCTCCGTCGCTGGCTATGTGTCCCAGGACCATCTTGGTGGTGGGAGCCCCCATCCCACTGCCCTGATGGGCTCTGAGCTCCACCAGCAGCAGGACTCAGCGGAGGAGGAGGAAGAGGTCCTGAGAAGGAAACTCAAGTACTTCTTCATGAGCCCTTGCGACAAGTATCACGCCAAGGGGCGCAAGCCTTTTAAACTGGGCCTGCAGCTGCTGAAAATCATCATTGTGACTGTGCAGGTGGGTCCGGCGTACTGCTTTTTGTTCTGACCTGAGAACATAGTAGTCCCAGAGTGCTTTATTCTCACTGTGCTGTAACATGTTGTGTCTGTCTCACAGCTGGTGCTGTTCGGACTGAGCAACCAGATGGTGGTGACATTTAAAGAGGAGAACACTGCGGCGTTCAAACACCTTTTCCTGAAAGGTTATCAGGACAATGCTCCCCAGGCAGTGCACACACAGGCCGAGCTGAACAGACACATCAGCTTCGCCATCGACCAGGTAGCCCAGTGCTAACAGCCAGGTCTTAATGCTCACTCCTGATGTTTGTGTGTTGCTGCTTCCCGTCCGTGTGTGTCAGTGCCATGTACCCGGCTCCGGTGTGAACACCGCTGACCACCTAAATTACCACACATGCTCAGATGGAACTGGAATGTGAGCACAAGAATAACAACCAGGTCGTGTGTGTGACGGTTAAATTGCACAGTTTCCTCCCAAACGGCTTAGTGAACCGGCAGTGGTGCTGGCACTAGTGGTGAGAGAGAAAAGGTTTTTTGGGTGAACTGACCCTTTAAAGAGTTTCACACACTTGTGTTTTATCTTGCAGATATGAGGTACCTGAGACACGCACCATTATAAGCTGCTGCTTTCAGTTCTCACTTCCTGCTCCACCTCTTCTCTTCTCGTGTCCCTCTCAGTACATGGCGCTGCCAAAGATCTCTCTGGGACGGTACGCATATGTGTTGGGTGTCGGTGTAAACGGAAGCGCGCTCTCGCTGTGCCAAAGGTACTACAGGAGGGGCACCATCGACCCCGTCAACGACACCTTCGACATCGACCCTCATGTTGACACCGGTAGGCTGCTCTCCTGGCTGGTAGACTCCGTCTGTCGCTCAGCATTCAACACTAAAACATTATCATCATTATTTTCATGGAGTCACTGTGCGGCTGCTCCATGTGCCACGAAGTGCCCTGCAGCTGTGGTCTACTTTTACATGCCTGAAACAGCCCCTATCACAAAACAACACAGCATAGATGTTAGCAGAAACAAACTGTATCTCTGCCCTGTGAAAGAAGCTGTTTGCACACACCTGCTGACTCGGCAGTACGTGATAAATACAGTAAAACCAAAATAAGAATGTGAAGCTCCAAGGAAACGACTGAAATGGTTTGAGGAAGTGCTCGTGTGGTCTGGGCTCCATGTGATGTGGGGACAGACCCAACTTCCCCGTGGGGTATTTGTTAGTTCCTCTAATGCTGTTTTCTGGTTTGTGTTTCCAGACTGCATTGGACTGGACCCTCAGACTCCAGGGAGCAGCGAGCACAAGAATTTCACTCTCAAGTTTTACAAGTCAGTTACAAGGTTTTTGTTAGTTTTTTTAACATTAGAAACAAAAAACCTGTTTTTCTCTTTACTGTTTTAACCCATCACATCTTTGTGTCCAGACTGATCAACGTCACTATCGACTTCCAGCTGAAGGCCATCAACATTCAGACCATTATAAACAATGAAATCCCCGACTGCTACACCTTCGCTATCACGGTGAATGGTCTCTTATTTCTGTTCCACAGTCATGACCAGATATATCGGCACCGCTGCCTTCCGGTCAGATAACCACCACTTCTCCCAGAAAATTGTTGCAGTCCCAGATTCTTTGGTGTTCTCATGTTTATTTCTTTGGTTTGCACTGGAACAACACAAAAAGCAGAGAAAAAGCCAAATCCAGTCGACACAGAACTCCAAACATGGACGGGACAGAATTACTGACACCTCTTCAGAATCATCAGAACTCGTTGTATTTAGCTGTTGTCAGAAAATGAAACGAGGCCTTCAGAGAAAAGGACACGGTCCCTACAGTCAGACACGGTGGAGGGTCACTGATGTTCTGGGGCCGCTTTGCTGCTTCAGCCTCTGGATGTCTTGACTGTGTGTGTGGCGTTATGACATCTGAAGACTACCAACGAGTTCTGGGGGCAGTGTAGGGCCCAGTGTCAGAAAGCTGGGTCTCCGTCAGAGGTCATGGGTCTCACAGCAGGACAATGACCCAAAGCAGACCTCACACAGCCCCAGAAATGGTTTCAGACAATGAGCTGGACAGCAACGAGTCCAGGTCTAAACCCCATAGAACGCCTGTGGAGAGAACAGCAGCTGGGAGAAGGAAGCCTTCACACCTCAGACCTGGAGCAGCTGGCAAAAGAAGAGAGGTCCAAAACTCCAGTAGAGAGGTGGAAGGAACTCACTGGTGGTTACAGGAAGAGACTGATTTCAGTTACTTTGTCCAGAGGGTGGGCTGCCAAATATTAAGATGAGGGCGTCGATAATCCTGTCCAGTCCATGCTTGGAGTTCTGTGTGGACTGGATCCGATTTAAGGTTCCAGTATGTTTGGCTGTGGCTGTAAATGCATCCTTATAAACATCCCCTCTGACTGAATAATGAGGTGAGACTCAAACACAGTGCAGACAGAAACTTCATCACATCTGTGATCTTTCTTTTCACAGTTCAACCATAAAAGTCTTTCCAAGCAAAGATCAGGATCAGAATCAGCTTTATTGGCCAGGTGTGTTGGACACACAAGGAATTTGACTCTGGTACAGCGGCTCTCAGTGTGCACGTACATGTAAACAATGTAAGGCTGAGAACAGAAGTAAAGAAGTGATGTGCAATCAATCAAGATACATGAATAATAACTATACATATACAGAGCCTTCCAAAAGTCTTCATACCCCTTGAACTTTTCCACATTTTGTCACGTTACAACCACAAACTTAAATGTATTTTATTGGGATTTTATGTGACAGACCAACACAAAGTATCACATAATTGTGAAGTAGAAGAAAATTGATACGTGGTGTTTGAGATTTTTTACAAATAAAAATCTGAAAAGTGTGGCGTGCATATGTTTTCAGGCTCCCTGAGTCAATACCTTTACCTTTCACAACATATCATTTTCCTTCCACTTCACAATTAATGCGATAATTTGTGTTGGTCTATCACACAAAATCCCAATAACATACATTTATTTCTGTGGCTGTAACGTGACAAAATGTGGAAAAGTTCAAGGGGGGTATGAATACTTTTACAAGGCACTGTGTGTGTGTGTGTCACAACAGTTTTATTCATGTATCCGATGACTGAAGGTATCAGGTACATGTGGCGCAGTAAAAAGTACACAGTTTGTCTCTGACATGGAGTCACAGGATGAAGTAGTAGGACATGGACGTCCTACAGTTTAGTCCTGAGTAAATGCTCTCCTGCCTCTGGATGGAGCCATTTCCCAGTCCAGGTTTGTTCTCAGCAGACAAAAGATCAGAAGGGGGATGGTAGTTTTAATCATCTTGTCCAAGCCCAAAACGTTCCCAAAATACATGATAGTGTTTGACCTGTTGTCTTTTCTGGGGTCAATAAAACGTCTCATCATATTTCTACTTTTAATTACTGTTAGTATGTTTTTATAGATGGGCTCCTCGTCTTTTCACCACTGTCAGTTTGCAGTGTTTCCTAGTTGTGGCCTAAACTGAGACGAACCGTTCCGTGCCCAGAGCTTGTGTATTTACCCTGCCTCTTGTTCGTGCCCTCAGATCGTCATGGACAACAGGGCGCACAGCGGCCAAGTTAAGATCAGTCTGCAGAACCAGGCCTCTATAAAGGAGTGCAAGGACCCCAATGTGTCCGGACACGGTGAGTAACTGCTGGAGGCCGAGCTGCGGCGAACGTGGTCTGTGCTGGTGCTTGTTAACCTGTACCGTCTGCCACTGTCTGTCCTGTGCTGCCAGCTGAGAGCTACGCGCGGGAGTTCTTTGATGTGCTGGTGGCGCTGGTGTGCCTGCTGTCTCTGCTGCTGTGTGGCCGCTCTGTCCTCCGAGGCGTCCTCCTGCAGCATGTAAGGAAGCAGAGCTCGTCTTTACCAAACCGGTAAAAAGTATCTACAGGAAAGACAGCAGAAACCCGCTGTTTTCACCATGTGTCCAGATTTATTACAAGAGTCCAAAGATGAGAACTACTGAGCAACCCACAAAACCAAGACTGTGCAGAGCCAGTCAGGAGGAAAAGTGTTGTGACTGGCTCTTAGCCAAGACTGTGCAGAGCCAGTCAGGAGGTTGTGACTGGCTCTGACCTCTTAGCTGTTGCACCGTAAGGACAGTTTAGCACCACAGGAGCAGACAGTGAAGTCAGAGCCACGTGTTTTTACAGTAGTCTGCACCCTGGTCACTGCTGTAACATCGGGTTAAAGGTGCTGAGGTGCACAGCACTGTGCACGGTGTGTTACTCAACAGGACCAGTGTTGTGTGTGTGTGTGTGTGTGTGTGTGTCCTGGCTCTGTGACCTCAGAGCCTTCTGAAGCCACAAGAACTTTGAGAAACAGCCGTTATGAAGTACACAAATGGAGAGAAGGTGAATTATTTTAGAGGAAAGTTTAACTTGTAGCAGTTGAATCAATGTGGCCCGTGTCAAAAAATAAAGTGAGTAAAGTAAAGTAAAGTATGTTTGTTTGCAGTCGCAGCCTGTGAGTGTTTAAACCATGATGGCCACTGCTGTCTCATTAGATCTGAGCACAGTAAGGTGACAAGGCAGAGATAACCGTCTCTCACTCAGCTATCTGGGTTTACGGCACACACGCTGTTTATTTTACATGCTTTGTGTCCTGACTGAAACGTGTAACGCTGCTGTCTTAGCCAGGTCTCACTGGTAGAAGAGGTTGCTAACATCAGTGGGTTTTACCTGGTTCAGTAAAGACTGAATAAAGTTTTAGAATGACAGCATTCTGGTGAAAAACAAAAATCTGGCACCACAAACCACAGCTTGTCATTTTTACTTCACTGGTTGTTCATGTCAGCGAACAAGATAAACAACAGGTGGTATCTTGGTCCCTTTGGACAGAACCGCACTAGCAGGTTTGCTCTGCTTCCAGTCTTTGCTAAGCTAAGCTAGCAGCTGGTGGTGGTACCATACAGACATGACAGTGGTATCAGCTGGAATATTTAACGCTTGGTAGAAAAAGGCACAATTTCCCCAAAATGTTGAGCCTTTAAAGCTGTACAGAAATACTTTCATTTAGTTTTGCCCCTGGTTTGTGAGGATGCCGTCGGGCACAGAAACCACCTCCACATGATTGATCTGTTGTCTGGAAGTTTCTTTTAATCCATTACAGTTTAGATTAAAAGAAAAGAGCATGTGTGTGTCATAACCCAGCTTCTCATTTCACTGATCATCTCCCCGCCCAGGAGTACGTGCAGTTCTTCAAACACCGGCTCGGCCGCAGCGTGAGCTGGGGGGACAGGACAGAGTTCATCAATGGCTGGTATATCCTGCTCATTGTCAGCGACATGTTCACCATCATCGGCAGCTTCATCAAAATTGGCATAGAGTCCAAGGTAAGAGACACATTACTGGTCAGACTGCCCGGCAGATGTTGTCGCCACCTCAGTAACAGCAGTAAACATCGCAGTTCCTGGTCATTAATGATGTCACTGTTGTGATGCAGAATCTGTCATCATATGACATGTGCAGCATCCTGCTGGGAACCTCCACTCTGCTGGTGTGGGTGGGAGTCATCCGCTACCTCAGCTTCTTTCAGAAGTACAATGTACGTCAAAGACACACACACGAGTGAAGGTCATGTTTGTTGGAGGATGTTTTTACCTCCTGCGTGTCGGCCTCGGTGCGCTTGGTGTTCTGTGAATGTATGTTGTTTGTTCTCTGCTTTCCCCATAGATCTTGATTGTGACTCTACGAGCTGCTTTTCCTAATGTCATCCGCTTCTGCTGCTGTGCGGCTGCTATTTATCTGGGATATTGCTTCTGTGGCTGGATTGTGCTGGGGCCCTATCACGCCAAGGTGCTGCACACACACTCTGCACTGTCTCTAACCAGAAACGAGCAGGCGCAGGTCATTCAGACAAGAAGTACATGTTCGTACAGTGTGCTTACCATGAAATGCCTTCAGGAAGTTCTCAGACCCCTCCACTTTACTGTAAACTGATACAATTACTGATTTTGTCCATTATTCTACACTCAAAAATGTTTATAAACTTTATAAACTGAAGTTTCTCATTTACAAAAGTGTCCAGATCCCTGATCGATGCTTCTTTAAGTCCTTTAAAAACAATGAGACAAAGTCCAGCAGCTTCATCAGCCTTTCACTCACAGTGGCTCCTGTGCAGCCTCTTGACCATAAAGGCCCGACTGATGGAGAAGCCGCTGAGACGCCTGTCCTCCCCGCACCCTGGCGAGACGCTCGTCCTCCAGCAGCTTCTCTGTCTGAAGCTCTGTCAGAGGGACCGCTGGGTCCTTGGTCTCCTCCCTGACCACGTCCCTTCCTGTTCCTCAGTCTGGTCGGAGGCCGACTCTAGAAGAGTCCTGCTGGTTCCAGATTTTTCCATGTCCCAGTAACTGAGGCCACTGTGCTCCTGGGGACACTCAGCGCTTTGGACATGGTTTGATCCCCTGGTCCTGATCCAGGCCTCACCACAGTCTGACCACAGAGAGCTTCTGGACTTCAGGTCCTGGATTTAGTCCTGACCTGCAGGGTGAACTGTGGGACCTTGTACACACAGGTGTGTGTCTTTCTTCACTGTGTCCAGTCAGACCAGTTTGCCACAGGTGGACTCCAGTCAAGGTCCACACTCATGTCAGACAGGATGCAGCTGAGCTCAGTCTGGAGCCACAGCAGAGGTTCTGGAGACTTTTGGAGATGAGAGGCTTCAGTTATTGAATTTTAATACATTTACAGAAATCTTAACAAACGTTTTCACTTTGTCATTACAGAAGACTCATTACTTTTATCCATATAACATTAAACCTACAACACCATAACGTGTGCAGAAAACGAACAGCTAATATGAATCAAAACAATCTGCTGCTTTTTACTTGCAGTATTACTGTATGTACAAATGTGGGCAGTGAAGCAACTGACAAACAACTAATGAAACCTAACATATGCAAAACAAGAGCCAGTTAACCCATTTCAGAAAAGTCCTGCCTGCCGACTTTGACCCCATGTTTCCAGTTTCGCTCCCTGTCCACGGTGTCCGAGTGCCTGTTTTCTCTGATCAACGGAGACGACATGTTTGTAACGTTCGCTGAGATGGAGCAGAGCGGCACACTGGTGTGGATCTTCAGCCAGGTCTACCTTTACACCTTCATCTCCCTCTTCATCTACATGGTGCTGTCCCTCTTCATCGCACTCATCACTGGAGCCTACGACACCATCATGGTACAGTCTGGGTTCATTCATCAACACGCTCGTTTGTATCTCAGCAGCTGTTAGGTTCCCACCCTCATTCAGAGGATGAATCCTAAGCTTTGTTGATTCTCAGGTGAAAACATCAGTGTCCAGTACTTGGTTGTATGAGCCAATACCTGCAAAACTAGCATCCTGCTAACATCCCAGTGTTAGCTCAAAGCACTGCTGTGTCTAAGTGCAGCAGCTGGCGTGGCTGTAGGCGAGGAGCAGGACTCCAGGGCGACAAACAGGGCTCTGTGGGAAGCAACGCCACCTTTAAAATGAGCCTTAAGGTGAAGATTTGAAAAAGCATCAAAGGTCCCTTAAGAACTGTGCAGAGATCAGTTTAGAACATCAAAATATAATTGATAAAAAAGAGAAGTCCAATTTATACAGAAGTCTGGGGAGAGAAGCAGTTTGTTGATGCAGGATGTTTCTGTTTTGTAATGTTTTAAAGCGTCAAACCGAGTCCACAGAAGAACCACAGGGCCTGGATTTGGTTCATATAGAACTGGTGACAGTTTCCTTCTTCAGTAATTCTCTTCCTACATGAGCAGGTGGTCTAACAGCAGGCCTTACGACCAGTTCCTGTCAGATGAATTGGTTGTGACGGTTCTGTTTATACCTACAGGCCCAAACGCAGGAGCGGGTGCACGTCGCAGATCTGCACGCTTTCATCGCACAGTGCACGGACACACCCAGCTCTGGCAAGTTTCGCGGGCCTGAGGGGCCGTCCTGCTCCGTCCTCTGCTGCTGTGACTGAGGAGGAGGAGGAAGAGGATGCACTGAGGGAGGGTGTGTGTGTGTGTGTGTGTGTGTGTGATCTTGATTTTATTTTTTCCTTTCAAAGCACCATGTTTCCACTGCAGCGATAAGTGAGCACGCTTCCCACACACCCAGCAGGGGTGGAAACTGACTGACCTTGGACCAGGTTGTCCCATGTTTGAATTCAGCTTTTAACCTAGTGCTGGAGCAGAACAGTGCACTGCACATGCACACTCACAGCCCAGTTCCCTGCTTGGCTTCTGTGCTGTAAGAATAATGTCTGTTTCTGAGATGTCACGTTGTTAGGGCTTTGATGACAGTGTGCCAATGTTCATTTGAATGATCCACTATGTTCAGGGTTTTTATTATTGTTTGATTGTCCACACAGCTACCTGGGAGACAGGACTGTTGTGCCTCTGGAACATGTAAATATATGTAAATCCTCTGGATCTGCTTAGCAGAGGTGGAATAGACACGAGACAACCGCAGCGATCACTAGAGACTGCAAGTGTGCATTAGTTTCTGCAACATGTTCATTCCATGCATTTGCTGGAATTTCTTTCTTTGCTCCTTGTCCCATGTTCACATCTTCCTGGGGCGGGAAGGAGATGATGGCTGAAGGGGGAAGGTCAAGGCCTGCAGCCAGCCCGTTAGTCATTACTATGTATGAACTGGTTCTGCTGTAAGCAGCCAGGTGACTCCAGCCAGGTGACTCCACACTAACACACTGACAAACAGAGCACTTTCACTGTTTGCTCCACGCGAGGCTGCAAAGTAACATCCCTGTAGAAAATTAGGACAACGTCAGGTGATGTGTTAGCGACGACCTGTTGTAGAAAAATGTCGGAGTGGTATGTTGTGCTAGACTACGCTGTGTTACAGGGAGAGAGGGCAGGAACTACAGGACAAGTTGTAAAACCTTCATCTTATGTCTTTTAATGCAGGTTATTAGACGTCACAAACCCTCTGGTTCTGATGTTTGGACACTAAAGAGAGAGAACACAGCATCAACAAGCTAAATGTGTGCTGGATTCTTCTTCCTCTCTCTCGTCCATTTGACCTGTCGATAAAATACATTTTAATTAAACACAAGTAAAATCTGTGATTTTAAAAGTAGCTTAGCCAGATGAGATCACAACATTCCAGTAGACATAGCAGTGCTGCTACTCTGCTAAGCTAGGCTAGCGTCCTTTTAGCAGGACTGGTTTAGCTGGTGTTACTTTGTCCTTTAAGACACCTACTTTGTTTGCATTGAAACAAGCTCAGTTACTAAGATATTGGAGTATCAACATTCATTTTGCAATTCCAGGAAAAATAGGGCTGAGTATCTTTAGCTAATCTCACGAGCTAGCTGTAGCTAACTAGCACTGTAGCCACATTTGACAGGGCTGCAGTCTTTTTTTTTTAGCTTACATTTGTTATTAAGTAAGAATTTGCTGTGTACCATTGGTTGTCCTGATAGTGGTTAATGAACCATTTACTTGTTACCTATTTATGTGTAATTATTTATTTACTTGCTACTGAGTAAAACATAAAAGCATGATAATTCTCAGGCAAGTCCTTGAGTCTGTTTTCTATAATTACTAAACGTCCTTTATGGAAGTTTGTTAGCACTGTCCAATAATTGTAACTTAGGATCACACTCGGTGGCACAGAATCACTTATACCTGTAGGTGTCCAACAGTTTGTTAGCAGTGGATATATCTACATACTATCCTCAGAAGGTGTGAGGCACACTGAATCTGTCCTGTGTCTCTCTGTTTATAACATTTAATAACTTACAACCACGATGGTTGACATAAATTGTGGCACTCGGGTCAAAAGATTTGACAGTGGCCATAGAGGCTGCTGCAAATTCATCGTATTGATACGCAAGGCAAACTACAAAAACTCATTTTCTCTGTGTTTTTAGAGCAGCTGTCCCTTTTACCTCACACTTTGCCTCACTCCTCCCTAACATGGGTAAAAACAAGGCCCAGAATCCAAATCAACTGTTTTCAGCAAAATTAAGGACAAGGTTGGTGGAAACCACCCAGAACTGGCAACGCTGCTGCAGTGCAGTTCCTGCAGCCTGTTCTTACTTCTGTGTTCAGGTTCAGGTGATTTTTCCCTGCTACTTTTATCCCCACAAATACACATTTAAAGATGTAATGATCATTTCCATGGAAAGTCAGATTCTTGTTTTAACCAGATGTGAAGTTGCAGTGTCAGCCTGAAGCCACGTGTAACAGGGTAATAGCTCATCCATTTGATCTGAGTGACTAAGGGCATCTTTACAAACCTGCAGGTCTTCATTTACACTTTTAAAGTGCTATGTCTTTTTATGGATATGGACTGAGGTGGTGATGCTGTTTCCTGCTGTGCCGGGTCACGTGAAGGTTCCTGTGCACAGAATTTGTATCCGGAACAAAAAGAACAAAGGGATTCAGATGTTACACGGATTTGATGCTTGTATGTTTTTGTTAAATGCTCACTGACTTGTTTACTCATTAACAGCTGTGTTTATTTACAGTTTACGTGCACTTACTTCTGTGTACATGATGAAGACCGATGTGCAGCTCCACTTGATTTAAATGTGACACATGGGAGCCATAGAGCACAATGAGGCGCAGCACTGTTTCTGTAATGCATCTGTTCATGTTGTCCTGACTGCTCTGGTCCTGCTGTGTTGTGTTAATGGTAACTTTATTTTTACTTGTATGCTGTTTTTTAATGGTTTGACCACTGAACAGCTAAAAGAGCGTTTGACAGTTTCTGGATCTGAGGACACTGCAGGTTTTGAGTCTTTTCTATAAAGATGCTGCCGTTTGAAAATAAACTGGAAACACCTGAAACTGTCAGGATTGTTTGAATAATACTGAGCTAAGTTATGGGATCTGTCTTCACCCATCTGTTCAGAAATTAGTGTAAAAATGTTTCTTTTTAAACTCAACAGTTCATTCTGCTGGTTATCAGGTGTTTGGGGATGCATCCTAAACTAGATCAGCATTTGGCAGCTGCACCCAACTCTGTAGGTGTAACAAGACGTTTAATTCGTTGTGTAAAATGTAAATTTGCCTCCAAACAAATGAGATGTTATTTTATGTCTCATTTTCATATTGGCAGATGTTTTTATTGCACGTCACTGTTATCAAGCTTGTGCTTGGCGATCACATCGATGACTGAAGACACAAACACTGGATCGTGGTCGACACTAAGCTGGAGAGGCGACAGGCCCTCGGACCTGTTTGTGCTCCTTTTCCGTCTGACAAAAGCCTCGTGCTTCTGTCTGCTGCTACAGCTCGATCCTAGCCTCATGCATTAGCCCACACATTCAGGCCACAGAGGAAACCAGTGGGCTCTATAAAGGGTCATTTAAAAATCCTAGTTTGAAGAACACCTTCTGTTGTTGTGAAGGAATCGCTTCCAGCTGTCTGGATCATAAAATATATTCCATCCACTGCACAATAAAAAGATTTTTAACCTTTTCCCTAAGTTTCTGTGCAGGTAGTCACTGAGCCACTGTCTTCGTTTTGATCTGGAAATGGTCGCAACTTGGGAAACATGTAAGAAAAACCATTTTTATGGGGCAGTGGAGTGAATACTAGATCAGGTTAGAAGAGTCTGGTGGCTCTGAAAACACCTTCAGAACAACAGTAAGTGACTTTATTTCAAACATCACCTTTCATTTATTGATGCAACCCAAATGTGAGCTGGAAATCTTGAATTAAAAGTTAAAGACCTGTTTATTATTACATGTACAGTAAGAGCAGCAGATCGGTGCAAACTGTGCAGAACAACCGAGTGAACAGAACAACAGACAAATACTTGTTTTCCTTATGTTTCCCAGCTTGGTTTCTCACAGTTCCAACATTTACATGAAGTTACAAACACATTCATACGCATCATGAAAACAAAGACCCACACACAGTCTGTTGACCTTCGGTTAGTGCTAGACTCCCACGAGAAACCAGGCCGCTTATCTAAGATTAACCACCCTCCCAGTTTCCATTCTCTGTCCTGCAGCAAAAACAAGACCCAGTCAGTCTACACAAGATACAGCAACGCATCGTTTGATTATAACGTGTAAAGTTTTTCACAGTATTGCTGATCGCATTGATGACACCAGCTACATGACACACAGGCCACCAGATAGATTTATGCTGTTGACACATGAGACGCTTCCACTGCAGCTGCTGGCGGCCCACAGTGCTGCCGCCAGGCTTTGACAGAGTCCTCCAACAGTCAGGCCCATTCAGAGCCTGTAAAGCTTGTTTTTAATGAAGCTGCTGAGCTCGCCGGGAGGGGCGGCGTGGGCCTGCAGCCACCGCAGCGACGACCAGTCACAGGAAGTCAATGCTCAAATCAATCGTGAAGCAAAGAAGACAAGAGAGGAGGCAAACACACGAGCACTCTGCAGAGGGCAGGCAGAGCATTAGGACGAGGAGGGGTTGCCTTCATCAAAGATAAATTAGACTGAGAGTATAAGTACTTAACCCAGGAGTCTGCCATTATCACAAACTGCCTCCCATCTCAGCACAAGTAGACTCAGGCTGAGCAAGCCAAACAAAATGCACACCAGTCCTTTATTAAACGGCTAAAATGAATATCTGTAGTTCTTTATCTGCATTTGCATTAAGGTCACCATCATATTCTGAGCCTGTGTACTGTGGAATAAATCAGTGGGTTGTTTCTGGCCCATACACTGGCAGAACCGGAGTCACTGATCTCTGCTCAGTTTACACTGCTCCTCACGTATAACAACGTTATAGAGCTGTTTGCTGAAAAAACATGGGCCTCACATTGTTCTATATATATATATGATGATGGGGCATTAATGAGGTTCTTCACACTTTGTCAGTGAGAGCAGAAGCATCCTGCATCCTAATGACATGCTTCAGGGAGTCCACGCTGTGCAGCTACTCTGGCGTGCGCTAACCTGTAGCTGCCTGGTGTTCCTTCACACACAACCCATAATGTGTTATTTGAGTGTGCATGAGTGTTGTGCAAGGTGATAGCTCGCAGGTCTTTTTTGAAGCCAACACCAGATCAGTTTGATCCATGAGTCTCTCTACAGAAAGATGGCGACTGCGTCTCAGCCAGCTGCTGTCTGAGGAGATTCAGACCAAACACAGTGAGAGCAGCCTGCATCTGCTGCTGCTTCATTAGCTAATGTGTTGTGTAGGAGTCAGAGGTAGCAGACCTTTGACTGAGCGCCAGTCCTTTTGTGCTGCGGCTGCCCTGGCTGGCTGGACTGTGGGCCGATGGGAAAAAACAATGAGATAAATAACAGGGGAACTGTTAGCAGGGTACACAGCCCTGCCCCTTCCTGTCTCTGCTGCCACCCACACCGCCTATGTGAAAAACACCTTCCTCCCTTTGTTGCGTCTGGCTGACCGTGCCAGTACGTCCATCAGCATCAAGCCAGCAGGCATCGACCCTCCCCGGAGCCCCCGCTGTCCTCCTGGACTCCTTCCACGTCTTTCATAGAACCACACACACACCTGCATGCAGCTGCAGCGTGTAGGCGTGCCACGGGAACGCAGCCTTAGTCTGGTGGTCTTAGAACAATATGAACATGTCTGTGTGGTGGTCCTTCACTTGGTTGCATGTCATTGTTTGGTATTTCTTTTGCGTTGCTGTTCATGCAGCCTTTCTGGTTTGATGTGTCTCCATTTCATTGTGATTGTGATGTTTATGATTTCCTGTGTGATTCCTGTAGCCCTGGCTTCCCTCTGTCCACACACCTGCAGCTCATTTGTTCTCATGTTTTGTACTACTTCAGTGTTTGTGTTTAATTTCAACACATGAATCATGTTAGGGAGCTCATTTGTTGGAGCTGATGAGCAGAAGCCCGAGGTCAAAGGAACACAAACAAAACTTCCTCTGGAAACCCACCTGACAGAGATAAACACAACCCAGGAGATAAAACCATGTTTTCATGCACTCAGGTGCATGTGCAGGGCATGTTTTCAGTGTTGTGCCTTACATTTCCACCCCAGCCTCAGACAAGCAGCACAGAGCCAAATGTCTTGGACAGAGAGGAGAGCGCCACAGGCTCGACGTGAAAAGAAACCCATCCAGAACAGAGCAGAACACAAAAGCCTGGCTCATGCAGACTGAGCAGCAGCAGACAGACAGGCAGGCAGACGGCATGCCCACCCAGACCGTCTCTGATGAGCAGACACACAAACAAAAGCGCATAAGCCACGAAACAACGCCCTTCATTGTCTAATTGCGGCTGAGAGAAACACACAACTTCTCAGAAAGGCTGTTACACAGCGTGTCTGCTGCTCCTTGCTGTCTTGTTTCTTGCTGGCGACCTTTTCAGTCCTCCCACTTTCATCTGCAGTCACTTTCAGGCAGGTGCATGTTGAGCTGCCTTCAGGGGCTGCTGCTCGCAGGAAATCACACTTTCAACACAAAGAAACTTAATGAGCAATCTTATTCAGTCTGGAGACATTTGTACTGTAGCTGGATTACATCCGATTTAGAAGTAACCTATGCCAGATTGATTTCCTATGGTCAGAGTCACATCAAAATGATCTTAGTAACCACTTTACAGCCAGCACTTGGCTCAAATGCACGAAGAGACTTTTGATTCTTGATGCAACAGTCACACCGAAGTAAACAATGCAGGCAGCTTGATGCAGCAGTAATGCACCGTGTGTGTGTGTGTGTGTGTGTGTGTGTGTGTGTGTGTGTGTGTGTGTGTGCAGTCAGGCATGGAGAAAGGAAGAAAGGGGTTGAAGAGGAGAGGAAAAGGGGGTGCGGGGCCCCGGGGGGGTTAGGGCAGCAGACAACCATGAGGAACTTGGGTGAGAGAGTAGAGTGACCTGCAAGAGGTGACATCATCCTTCATTTGAATAATCCCCCAGCCTGGGAGGTGACCGGCTGCTCCTAGAGAAAGCAAAGCCCCCTGCTATTCGCTATTCACTCCTTTCAGTTTCAGCACAGCACCCTGTGCTGGGGAATGCTGCCTTCACTGACTCATGGTAACCTCCAGGCTCAGCCTGTTCTCATTCAAAAATGGAGGTTGCAAAAAAGGACCTGCTGGGATTTCATGTTTTTATTAATTCTGAAATAAGTCACTGAAGGCAATGAACTAGAGTACGTACAGTACGTCTGCAAGGAGCCTGTGGTGCAAAGTGCAAAAAGGCAGTGACACCTGGAAGTAAATCAGTCAAATGAAAACAGAACACTGGTGTACTTACTAGTCCCACAGAATATGTGGTGTAAGGATGTGCTAGGTGCTGGACAGCACACACCAGGAGCCAAACAACTGTTTCCTCACCCCCCCCCCATTTATTTACCTTAAAGTAAACGTAGGGAAGAGAAAGTAGGACACAACCTTCATTCTCACTGTGCAAATTATAACAGTGTTTGTCCATTTGGCTAGAATAAACACATTTGTTTTATTCACAGTCATTCCTGCCAAAGTTACTTTTGATTTACACACCCATGGCTGACCAACATGGCAGGGTGGATCCCTACTCCATGTATGGTGGAAGTTTGTCACACTGGTGTAACTGGAAACATGATCCCGTTTAGGTGTGCCAGTAGGTGTGGACACTGCTATGGATACAGAAAGTCCATCGCTGTAGTGTTGTATTATATTTTCCTAAAGCCCCACATACCAGCTGGCTGCACCTGTCCAGGCAGGTTATTGCGCTGTAGCCGTATCCATAAACTCCTGCACTGACCTCTGCTCCTTTAATTGTAGATTATGGTCAGTTTTCTTGTAATGATTAGCGCAAAAACAGGAGTAAAATGTCTTGGCTCTGGGTGAAATTACATTTTTTATATTTGAGCCTCTTGCTGCTTCAATTTTAACCAAGTCCCCTAACTGCAAGCACTATAACATTATTGATGAATCAGCTAAATATTGTCTTGGTTAATTGTTTGGTCAATAAAATGTCAGAAAAGTGATGTATGATATGAGTGACATGCTGGTTACAAGTGTTCGATTGTTGTGTCTTGTTGCTTGTCTTCTTTTGTCTCTCCTCTATCCACTCACCCCAGCCGGTCGAGGCAGAAGGCCGCCCACCAAGAGCCGGGGTCTGTCGGAGGTTTCTTCCGTTAAAGGGAGTTTTTCCTCCCCACTGTCACCAAGTGCTGCTCAGGGGGATTTGTTGGGTTTTTCCTCTATAATAATAATAATAACAATAACTTTTGTTGTGATTTGGTGCTATACAACTAATTAAATGAATGAAGTGTCGTAAGCCGGTAAAAATCAGCAGTGATACCACTCAGGACTGAGACGTGCCACTAGATCAAGTGTAGCATCATTTTGATCTGAGCAGTTCTCCAAAATGTTGACGAATACATTTCACATGGTTTTTTAATTATCACCGATTATTAGTTTCACTTGTACAGCAGACATACAGAAAACTTTGCCTGTAGGCAGTGGTGGAAGAAGTACTCTGATTATTTATTTAGGTAAATGTAGTAATACCACAGTGTAAAAATACTCTGTTACGAGTAAAAGTCCTGCATTCAAAAAGTACTAAAGTATCAGCCTCCAAATCTACCTGAAGTACCAGCAGTACCAGTACTCGTCCTGCAGAACGGCCCGTGTCCCAGTAACGTCTCTGATACTGGATCATAGTGACTAATTACTGTGTCCATCACTTTAATGCTGCAGCTGGTAAAGGTGGAGCTGATGGTAACTACCTTATATACTTATACTGGGAAGTACTTTCCATCCTGCTGGGTAGCTGGTGGATTTCCTACTGGGATCAATAGAGTCTGATGGTTCTACTGGGTTTGGTTTGATTCATCTGGTTCTGGACTTGAAGGTATCAGGTACATGTAGTGTAGTAAAAAGTACACGGTTTGTCTCTGACATGGAGTCACAGGATGAAGGAGCAGCAGAAATACTCAAATAAAGTACAAATAGAGTAAATGTACTTAGTTACTTTACATCTCTGCTTTAGTGCACGCGGGCTGATGAACATCGCTGGTGTTTCCTGTCCACACGATTCCGACTCTAGCAGCAGCCCCTGAACGCAGCGCTCTCCGTCGCTCGGTTCCCTCGGTGTGTGTGTGTGTGTGTGTGTGTGTGTGTGTGTGTGTGTGTGTGTGTGTGTGTGTGTGTGTGTGTGTGTAGCCTCATTCTCCTCCTCCTTTCTTCCTCTCGGTGAACGCGCATCACTTGTGAAGGACGGCGCTTGAGAACCGCAAGTTTCTGTCGGTTCGGCTGCATCCGCAATTCTCTTCACTTGTTCCCGGTTTCACTTTCACCGTCAGCCCCGCTTTGTGCTCTGTCTTACCGGGGGATTCCGTCGGGGTGTACCGGCTAACACTGGGCGTAGCTGCGGAGGATTGTGCTGGCTCGCCGCTGCGCTCACTGGTAAGACGGACATTGTTTTAGCTTCAGCTAGCATGCTAGCACCAGTTAGTGGCTAATTAAGTCAAAGCCAACAAAGAAAAGTAAATGGATGTAAAATGAACATGACGTCGTTGGAGACATTGGCCCCTCAGCGTTGGCATGTTGGGCGTCTTCTTCACACTAAGGGCGGTTCATGAGTCAGTGGTGACTGTGTGTGAATTCATATTTTAGATAAATGTAAAGCTGTAAATGTCTAAAGTGTTTATTCTTGGTGTCACTTTTAGTCCCTGAGCTGTTTCAGGTCCACTGTGGTTTCTGTGGATCTCAGAAAACACAGAATAAACAGGTTTAATTGATGCCTTTTCACGTACACGGTGGTTCCCCCCCCACCACCGTGGGATCATTTTGTCCGTGTTCTCCCTCCATTAACCCTCCCGCTCCATCCTCCATCGTGGATGCCCATTGTTCTGTGATGGGAGCTGAGAAACGCTTCAGCCCCCCCCCCCCTCCACGAGCAAGGCCTGTAAATTTAGAGCTAATCATTTTGCAAATGCCCCCTCAGTTTTCATGTCAGCTAAAGGACATAACTCAGTTTTCATGTCAGCCAAAGGACATAACTCAGGGGCGTTTGTTGCATGTTAAGGCAGTAAATGTCAGCTGTTGGAGGGGGGTGTGTGTGTGAAGGGGGCCGTGCACAAGCTCATGATGGCATATAATCAGAGGTGATTAATGTCACCCCCAGAAGTGATCAGCTATTGTGGTGTGTCTGGGCTGGAGGGCCCCGTAGCTGCCGCGTCGCTGGCTCTCATGGTGACGGATTACACTCCCCTCTGCAGAACAATGGGAGGAGAAACCACTGCCGGTTACCAAAGCTCGGCCAGGAGCATTTAATAAAGTACCGCAAGCCCTGGAAATCTTGATCCTCAGCCCATAGCTCTGTTCCCTTCCCCTGAGGTGTTACAGACAGCAGCATTAATGGTGTCAAGCTTCGTGGCCAGCGTGGGCGCTGGTGGGTCAGTGATGTGTGGTGATCGACCGCGAGAGGCTGATGTCATCGCAGGACGACTGGTGCGAGCACTTCCCAGGCTCTGCCACGCGGAGCTTGGAGACGCTCCAGGACAGTCAGAAGTGGACTCAGCCAGTCTGCCCCCACCCCGGCACATGGGTGAGAGAGGGCTGACTCACAGCGTTGGTGGATGAGGCGGGGAAATGGAGGACACACAGGCAGCCTAATGCAATCATGTGAAATTAAATTTAGCTGCCATTAAAAAGCACACTCTGTTTTTATGAAGCTACTTAAGTTGGTCTTAAACAGATTACTGGATGGAGGATTACTGCCAGAGGCGTTCGCTGTGTGTGGGGGGGATTTGTCAGAAACTGTACTTTAGTTAATGGCACTGATTATTGTAACTGAGGGACATAAAAACTAATCTCTGTTATTGTGGGGTCGACTTGGATCGTTTCTTCCTCTGGGTTGTGTGTTTTCCTGAGGCTGTGTCGCTCGCTCTCCTTATTAGCAGACCTGGTTGGAGGAACCACAGTCAGTGAGGGATCATGAGACAATGGGCCCCCGGGCACAGACATGTGGAGGGCCCCACCTCTCTAACACTTGTAGGAGCAAGACACAAATTGAGCAACCTTGTGAATTGCGGTTGTTTTTTGTGTCTTTTTTTAGCCATACTTTGTCAGGTTTTACTCCTTTTGTTCAGTAGTTTAGTATCTGCTGTTGTTTTACATCGATTTTTCTCATTTTGGGGCTTCTTTTAGTCATTTGATTGGCTTTCCAACAGAAAGGTTAACAAGTCCCTTCATGGGTCTCGGGTCCAGGGGGCCCCTGACCCCCTTGGGCCCCTTCAGTAATCCATCCATGAGAGGGGGCCCACATGGGAAAATCCAGCTACTGATGCTAAAATGGTGGAGAAATGAGTCGGAGTGGCTCAGCAACCTGTCAGTCATTTATAAGTTTGGTTCACTTTGGGTTAAGATGCATTTCCATCATGTTTTATTGTCAGTGATTCATTCATTTAAATTAGATTGAACTTTATTGTCATTACCCAAGTACAAGGCAACGACATACCAGCTTCTAACCAGAAGTATAATAACCGCAGTGCAGAGTGCGCAGTATCTGCAGTCTGTAGAGTCAGAACTAATTTACTGATGGATATGTAGGGTAATGTACAATATACAACAGACTTTATGGATTAAAATTTAGAGCTGAAGGAACTGAGTTAATCAGTTTTTTAGCCAAGAGAAAATGAGTAAAGCATATCTTTAAAAGCCGCCAGCGAACAGTTCCACAGTGTCTTACCCTGAGAGGGGGTCTGACCGCTGCATTAATAGACCTGCGTGTCAGCCACAGCCTGAGGACCAGTCGGAGCTCTGAAATTCTCAGCTGTAACAAGGGCAGGCCTGTCCTCTGGTCATCATCAGCCTGAACCTGAGACCTCTGTGGTTCCTGGTGTCATTAAACATGACCACACCATCATCTGCAGCCATGGCAACAGCAGTACAGCAGTTTGTTGCTTTGAGATCATTGAACCACCAGCATAAACTGTATGCCAGACTGAGTTTGTTTCTCTGTTTTCTGGAGGAAACTGCCACAGGCACTAGACTTGAATTTGAGCAGTGAAGATGAAGAGAGATAAACCTGGCTGCTGTTGTTGGGGCATGCAGTTGGCAACTGGTGGCCCGGTTCTGTTTGCAAGCAGCTGCAGGAATTTGCTGTGTTTGGATGCTCCGAGTTCCTGTGGTGGGAGCATGGATAATGGATGTGGTTCACATCCCTGCTGTTGGCTTCAGCCATCAGGTTTTTCATGCACAATGTGTTGGCTGGTTGTTTGGTGTAATGGAGATGTCCAGATCAAATCAAATCAAATTTTATTTGTATAGCGCCAAATCACAACAAAAGTCATCTCAGGACACTTTACAAACTAAGGTCTAGACCTTACTGTTATCAATATTATTACATAGGGAAAACCCAACAAATCCCCCTTGAGCAAGCACTTGGCGACAGTGGGGAGGAAAAACTCCCTTTAACGGAAGAAACCTCCGACAGACCCCGGCTCTTGGTGGGCGGCCTTCTGCCTCGACCGGTTGGGGTGAGTGGATAGAGGAGAGACAAAAGAAGAAAAGCAACAAGACACAACAATCAAACACTGATCAGGTCGATGTGGCTGGTGACTGCTC